TTCACAGGTTTTTCACAGGATTTTCACATGTTCTCAGCCAGTAGTGATAGCAGAGTTACCTATCGTTGGTTCATGTTCAAAAAGACAAGTTCACTATTCCACTTCAATCAAAGGCAGACTTCATAATATGATTTCAAATGATGGAATGTACAAGTACTGTCATGTAAAAAATGAAAACATGAAAATGCCATGTGGGTGGCATAAGATGCTAATGCATAATCTGTTACTGCTGGGAGTCCAATTGGGTCACAGATTAGAGCCCTGCTGTGGATTCCATATGTGAATTGAGTAATGATAAAAGGGTAAATTATACACCATGAGAAGAGGAAAAAACTTACTGACGTTTCTGATGCTAGTCCTTCGTTGGAGTAAAAGGTGTATAATTTAGCCTTTTATCATTACTGTTTCATTAGAAACACTGACACAGCTCACACTAGTTTTTAGCTAGATATCTCATGTGAATTGAGTGTTTGACTGAATTAATAAGATCTTCCTTGCCACAATGCTTTTCTCCAATTTCTCAGGTTTTCCTCCCTCCATGAAAAATCAACAGTTGAGTTGTGGTTATATAATATTATTACCATTAAGTGTGATGTGCTTCGAAAAATAATATCTTGAGGGTGACTTTGGACTGAATTAAATAGGGGTAGAGAATTAATATCTTAAATTATGTCTAAAATCTCCCTCAATATATTGTATTTGATTGATGGTCATTGAAATTATAATCGGCAAACAATACATCAAACTTTGCTCGTCACACTGCAGTGATAATGGTAATAAGTGCAGCAACGAGTTTCTATGGAGGATCACACAGCCCCACAAGCTACCAGCCGATACAAGCCTGTATGAGAAAAAAAATTAGCCAAAATTGGAAAAAAAATTCAAGATGATGTCATTCTTTCTCTTTTGATTATGGATTTCCAGGTCACCAAACGAAAATCAAAAAAACTTTGCTAATACTCACTTGATGACATTGACACAATATTTAATAAGCTTAATATTTTTATTGAAATGGCAGACGTTTTTATTATTTGCTGCTCAGTTTTTAGATAGATACAGGGTAACTCTCTCAGTACAAAACTGTAAATAAAAAACTGTTATCAATCGACGCCCTAAGATGCAGGCTTTCATGACACCTGAGTTTAGCAATAACATCATTTCTATATCACTATTTCAGATCAGTTGGTTATAGCTTTACAAAGCATGGCTACCGTGTATAAGTAGAAATAATTTTTATCTATTATTTTTAATCATTTAAATAAGATGTTTCACTCAACTTTTTTTTTAACCAAAATCGACTAAACAGCCTGAAATCGGGTAAAAGGTACAAGGGAAAGGTACAAACAATGACTTAAAGCAAGTCATAAAACAAATTTCAACTCCAATACATTTCCCTTATAAACCTTCCTACAGGAACCTTGCGTGGGCCGCCTGTGCTCCAACAATGCATTTAAAATTGACATTTTTATATTAATTCTCCTTTCATAAATGTCTTGCTGTTTACCGTAAACTAAAAACGCCAGGCACAAAAACTACGCGAATATCGCTCAAATATTGATCGTTCAAGTCGTGAGGCCATACAGGATTAATCCCTGGAGCTGGCTCAGCTGATAATCATTGACTGTGCACATTTTTGATCTCGAATTTATCGCTATTTGAGCTGTTTTGTTCATTGTTATTGAAATAAATCTTGTGTCTGTTAAATTCATATGTTAAATCCTTGTTTCCTTAAGCAGTCTTTATGTGCTTCAATGAGATCTTGACATTTATCTTCGCCTCGTTCTACTATACAAGCATCTCGTAGTTTCTTCGTCTCGGGACACGCGCAACATATTTTGAGCTTTTTTGGTTCCTCTTTGGGCTTTTCTTCGGGAGCAACAGCTTTGGACGGCTCAATTACTTGTGAAGACATTATGTATTTTTTCCTGGCTCTTGCAATAAATAAAACACGTCTTTTCCCCAGTTCACGTCTACATGAAAATTAAAAAGTAAGGTTACATAAGCACGTTTTCTTTCGTTTTGTTCAAAGAGGATGATGGGAAAACCACAGGGATCCCGACAAACAATGTTCTGCGATCAAGCTAGACTGTGCTCTTGAAGGAAATTATACCGGTTGGACGCAGGCTAGGATCAAGCATTAGGACGACATTCGACGACACTGAGATTATTTATAAAGAATTGTTTGAACAAATTAAAAATATTAAAAAATATATTTATGTTTTCAACACTATATTGTATGATGTTTTTTTAAGTATTTGAAATTGGGATCCTTGTAGAAAATAAAAGCTTTTGTCTCATTTATCTCTTTGTCTCTTATCTATGTTTTATTCCATTAAAAGTTAAAAATATATATATAAAATAAAGAGAACGTCAAAATTCTAGTCAGCGACAAAAAAAAAGTAAACAAGGAAATGAAAACGAGGCTGGAATCAGAGCCGCCCTCTGACGCATGCGCACAGCAGTTGTTCTTGATTTCAAGATGGCGGATGTTTTGCTGCATTTTGTCAAGAATGGATAAAGTTACCTGAATACCAACTTTACGTTGGCTTATCCTCGGCAAATATGGCCACGGAGCCTTCAGTGTCTACCTCACATATTGATCACCTTCTAGCAGAGGTTGAATCAAGTGATGGTCTTCTGGGACCAACTTTAAGGTATCGTGAAGTTTGGAGATGTGTTTCTGTCAAACCCAGCACAAATGTTTATGGAATTCTTCAACGCAGGAAGTAAACTCTGAATATTTTTTCTACCATAGGGCCGTGTACGATGGCCAACATCAGAAGGAGTTCATGGAAAAGCTTGAAGAAAGAATTAAGGTTCACGACAAAGACATTGAACGAATGTGCAACTATCATTACCAGGGCTTCATTGAGTCAGTCAATGAATTACTGAAGGTCCGAGGAGAGGCCAGAAAACTCAAGGTACGGCCCATAACAACCTCCAATTTTCATTTCACACTTGCAAACGTATTAGCTTTAAGCTACGGTTTTCCTTGAATATATTTATATTCGTTTTGCAGATAAAAGTTCAAGACGCCAATGAAGTTTTGCAAGATTCTGGCAGCGAGGTACGCGAGAAGCATTTTATGTCTCTTCTTATTAACCTTTAATTTTTAAATATTCGTTCCTTTTCTAACATTTTGATCAAGCGTATAACCAAACATAATCCTAATAGTACAAGTTTAAGCTCAAAACAATGTAAAGAAATGACTTTCATTGAATTTAGTAACATTTTGTGAATGCGGATAATGATGCATGGCAATCGCCAGACCGGAAATAGCCTTTTCTGGTAGAATATTTAATTTTGTAGGAGAGGTGAAAAAGTTAAAAAGTCAAAGCCATGGCTGGTATATGATAAACTATCAAATCATAGCTTAAATCAGGTGTTTAAATTAATTCTGTTGCTAATAGCTGGTTATGAAATAATAATCGAAATTAAGCAATTACACCACACAAAAAACGTGTGAAAAAGTTAACTAAATATTGCTAAGTGGTGCTATTTAGTAGTGTAATTATATTTATTCTAGAAATTAACTAACGTTGATGAAGCTTTAAAGACGTATTCTTAGCAGTTATGTGATTTGTTCACCAGTCACACATATGCATGTAAGAAACTTTAATATCTATGGTACTATTTTGAGTATTTCGTTTTTTTTACTGGGTTAATTGATCACACTTTTTATACATAATTTGTAAAGTGTCTTTGTTTGACTTAAGGCATATACAATGATAGTTATTAAGGATTACAGATGACACGTTACAGTTTTATGTACTTATCTTTGAATTCATTAGAAATAAAAGTAGCTAATACATATTATATAATATAATTATGTTATGTGCATATACTTTGACTTCAGTTAGAGAAATAGAGATTTTCATTGGTAGATCAAATTGTGAAGTTATAAATAATGGCATATACACCTACTTGCAAGAACGTTGTCATACGAAAATAGAACATTAGTGATTTAGTGGGATAGGAATTATATTAAAAAACAAAAGAAGATCCCTGAAGCTGAACTTTTTCTTTTGTCTTTTAATTTATTTCTTTGTCACTAAATTACTAATGTTCTAATATTGTATGACAACGTTCTTGCACGTAGGCGTATACAATATTTCTATTATATACTATAGAGAATTTGCAAATATGGTACTTAATTAGACAGAGAAGTATTGACTTGGCATGTTAATTTCCTATAAGGAAATCTTAGTTGACCTGAATGTGTCACTGAATCTGAGTGGAAGTGTCTATCCAGTTATACTAATTCCATTTCATATTAATTCTGTTAACTATTTTATGGTGTGTTTATTGCAGCTTGTAAAGAGATGTGAAGAGCTAATTCAATGCCGTACAGTTCAAAGAAATATTTCATCGGCCATAGAAAAACTAAGTCTTTGTTTACCAGGTAAGAGGTCCTAAAAATATTGGCAGTATAATTTGTGGATTAGATTATTTATTCTACTTGAGACAGGGATATGGAACCTGAAAGGCAAACATAGAGCTTTTCAGTTGCAATGCTTTCCCAGGTCCAAATGCTCATTTGTTACAGTTAAATTAAGATCAAAGTGTGATTCAAAACTTAGGTTGAGAATCAAGGTTTTTTCATTTATGTATGTGATTGTCAAAAATAACTCATTTAATGGTAATAAATTAATAAATCGTGCCTGTAATTCTTTCCTTTTAACAGTACTTGAGATGCATGCAAAGCTTAATGATCAAATGAAAAACAGGAGGTATGTCATCTTGCAAATGTGTTCAGAACTTTGGAATAAGAATCCGCCATGAGAGAGTGGATATTAGATGCATGATGAAGTAACACTGATTATTAATCTCTGTCTTAGATATTATCCAGCCCTCAAGACGTTAGAACAGCTAGAACATACCTATTTACCAAGAATAAAAAAGTAAGAAAACATATTTTTTTATTTAAAAACATAATGACTTTTAAAGGTGATTACTGTGCTATTGTTACCTTACAGGTTTAGATTTGCAGACATCATGAAAGATAGCATACCACGTTTCAGGGAGAAAATCAAAGAGGAATCCATGTTTGACTTAAGGGTAAAGCTCAAAATATATAATTTTATTAATTATCACATTATTTTTTTGGCTGCTGTGACACTCTTATTTGATTTTTTTGAATAAATTTGACAGGATTTTCTAGAGAATATCAGGAAAGACTCGGAAAAACTTGGATCAATAGCCATGAAGCAGGTATACATCCATTTTTTTCTTTTTTCTATTTCTAGGATAAAGGTAGTTAATGGCTGGTAAAATGACATTTTACAAAATTAAATTGGGTGAACCAGCTATAACTAATTAAAGTGGGAGTTTTTATGAGAACAAATAATTTGCTTAATTATATAACTTGTATAACTTAATTACTTTTTACTATTAAGATAAAATTGGCATTGTCACCATGCATATCATAAAGTTTGGTCAATCCGCCACAAACATCACTCTAAACTCTCCTACTTACTTTGCTTTTTTTTTCTTGACTTAATTTTCCCACACAACTGAAACATTTTTTATTGATTTCTAGGCCTTTCATCGTAGCAATCTTACTCTGTCCCATGGTGTTGGAACCAGGAAGAAAGGAGATGATGAGGTAACCTTTTGGTTTACTTTTAATTAGTACTTTAGGAAACATGGAGTGTTGAGAAGGGGGAAGGGGGAGTGGGATTTCTTGCTGAAAAGGATTTTTTTTCGTGAGTTGCCTACATGTATACAGTGTGATATGTCTAAGCATGGCCACCCAACTTATTTTTTTACTAATTAGCCAATCAGACAGTGAGAATTTGTGCATTTGCACTTGAAATCACTCAGCATGACTGGAAACATTTCAAATTATTTCAATTACTCTTTGCAACATAAACTTGAATAAATGGCTAGAAATTTGCCCAGGTGATACCTATTTTGGCCCATTGCTGGCTAACACCAGACTCTTTCGTAAAAAGTCTTTTCAATTGATGAAAAAACTTGGTGAGAAAGGATTCAGTATACGTGGCATAGGTAAGTTGTGTTGCCATGGTTAGGCGCGTTGCACTGTAATGATTAGATATGACTCAAATTCTCAAGTCCAAAATTTTCAAGAGGGGGGGGGGGGGGGGGGGGGGAAGCATTTCTCCAGATCCCCAGATTAGCAAGTATCAATTGCAAGTATCAGTTGTGATTTTTACTGAATGCTATTTATAAGTTAACAGCCCTAGCTAGCAATCACTTGTTGGTATAGAGTCAAAACACAAAACTATTTTATAAAAGTACTTATTTCTAATGGAAGAACCTTATACTCTTCCAATTTAGGAATTAGACCAGTCGGCTTTGGACCTTGTTGATTTTTCACCTGTGTACCGTTGTCTGCATATCTACACTGTTGTGGTAAGTTACTGTATGTGCTATCAAAGAGATTGTATTTTTATTCATAAATTATATTGAATTGTCTGAACTTTAGGTATTATATGTACCTGTCTTTAAGCATTTTTTAAAATAAAGCCTTGATAGTATGTACACTTTGATTGGTCAATAATTGTGCTGTACACACATTAATACTGAGAACTGAGGGTGCACTGTATTCTGCAAGGAAGTGTAAAAAACAGCATAATTAAATATTGAATAAAATATCAGCTTTCTCTGCAATCACCAATACATGAGTAACATGGAGGGTCTGAAAGCTGCCGGGAAAGGAGTGAGTCCCAGGGTTTTCAATAGAAGCTGGCAACTGGCAGATTCTGCCGTCTACTCTTGCTAATTCGGCCGCCTACTTAGCCACTTCCCAACGTAATTGTAAATTTTGATTAAAGTTCTTTGAAATTAGTTAAAATAAATTTTAACCCAATCTTTGTTGCTGTATTACAAAAACTGCAATGCAGTTGAAACTACGACGATCGTTTCCGCCATCTTAAATTTTTGTGAGAAGAGTGAGACTGGTGACAAGTATGACTCGATTACATGCTCAAGTGATTTACAGTTTACAGCATGTTTTAATTTCATAACCGCCTACCAAATATTTTATTGAAAACCCTGGAGTCAGAGAACACTGCAGCTAAGGCTTGCCCTTCACTTCACACTTCTTTCATGCTTCCGTCATTTCCTGTGCATAGTATTTTAGTGAACAGAGCGCTGTCAAAACTGTACAGTTATACTTCTTAAGCACTGTAAACCCAGTAGTGGTCAAAAGGTTTAATATACTGTATCTATCCAAGTACACAAACTTGATTTCCAGAAGATACGAGACCCAGTGACATGTATGCATGTTAGCACCTCAGGCACAAGCTCACCCCTGATTTGCTGATAATGATTTATTGATCATTCTGTTGTTGTAGGGTGAACGGGAATATTTTGAACACTATTACAGAAAGCAGAGAAGAAAACAAGCAAGGCTTGTACTACAACCAAACCATGGCACTATTGTGAGTCAAAAAAGTTCATACAGTCTAGCTATAACTACATATAACTATAGTAACTTTCTTTCCCAATCGAGTATGCCAAAAACTCATCTGTTCAGATTGACTGTTGTAGTGGGCAGTATTTTGGCTCTAATGCCATCCTTGTACTTCTATTCATTAACCAGTTCCAGACTGTAGAGTTCACACTGCTGGGTTTAAAAGTTAAAAGGAACTAATGCGTTTTTTAGGTACAGCTATGGAAGCATCATTATTTTCTGTTTGGCTGATCTTTTAATAGCCTGCGTGCAGCCGAACTAACTAACTGTTCAGTCCATCTGCTATCAGCTGTCAGCGGCAGTTTTGTTGTTCCGTTACCCCCAGCAGCGTTCCTGGATTTCAGTACGTACATGTATTCTGATTGGCTCTTGCTTATAAGTTTGCTTATTGGCCTTAATTTTCAATCTCTACACAAATTTCAAGCTAGTTTGTTTATACAATTTCACGTGTTGGTTCTTGCCAGGAATAAGACTCAAATTTATGTCTCATTTATTGCTAATAATAAAAATAATTTGTATTTTTTCTCCTCGAGAATTATCAAAGCAACATGTTTGTTATCTTATAGAAGGAAAGTCAGAGTTAAATGTGAAGTTGGAGTTGGAGATTTATTTTCAATCGACAGAGGGAGTATATAATAATGCAAGTCGTGCTTTCAAACCTTGTTGAAGAGACTAAGTTTAATCCAACTGCAACACAAACTTGAAAACGAATTGCATGACATTCATAAGAAGAATACGTTCCCTGTTGAGACAAATGACCTAAAGAGGGGATCAGCAGAGGATATAGAGTGTGTAATTCCTAAAAAGAGTCGTATTGAAGGGACTAGCGAAGATAATACATCATGTGTTCCCACATGCACAAGAAAAAATTCCCGCTGTTCCTCCTTATTCGCCAATTCAGAAAAAAGCCCGCCTGTTCAGTCAATACATACAGATCTGTCCATTAAGGTGAAATGACCATCCAAAGAAAAGCTAAGGAGAGAATGCCACTATAAGACCTAGAATCTCTGGGCAAGATGGTGGTTCGCAGAACTTATTAACAGATCCCTAATGTAGCTTGGAAGTATCCCTCTCTTAAGAAAGAACTAAGAGCTCTCAATGTAAAGGACAATAGAGAAGGAGGCAGCACAGCTGTGTTCAAACTGAGATTCGACAGCTGAAAAAGCTTTGTTCCAAAAGTCCTTGCTAAAATTTGCCATTTTGATTTCAGCAAGACTGAATAATATAGACAAAGGCTCTGATAACCAATTAGAAACAGCTTTAGTTATAACCAATTAGAATTTAGTCTTCAAATCCATATGCGTGCCCAGGCGTGGGGTCTAGAGAACATGATTTGTGTCGTTGCTTTGAAGATGGACTTTACGAGAAAAAAGTCTGGCTGCACACGGGCTAATCTTTTAAAAGATCTTCTTTTCTTGGTTTGGACTGTGCTCACCTGAAAATTGGTGTTATTATAATTCTGAAATTATTCTGCATGACTTTATTTTATAGGACGAATCCCTTGCAGCATATAGAGCTTACTTTCACCAAATAGTAGGGTTAGTGTGATTCTTTTTTCCCATATTGTTTTTTATTTATTTTTGGTACTGAATTATCTCCTTGTCACTGATCTGGTCTACTATAGCTGAAGCTCGCATCCTTCGACTTCAAGAGATTCATTAATTTCAGACCCAAAACATTTGATGACAGATTCTTTTAATTTATAATTACTAGACATTTAAATAATATGTAAAAACTCTTAAACTGTAGTAGAGCTTTGAGTGACAAACTTGTTGATTGATTGTTTCATTTTTCTCGTATAATAATAATAATTATAATTACACATCATATTATTAAATAATTATTTTTTTTGTCAACATAGATTTTTCGTAGTGGAAGATACTATATTACACACCACAAAGGGTCTTGTCACCAGGTATGTTTACTGTACTTCATTTCTAATATCCATATTATGCAAGTGTTTGTTTTAATTGCTATTGAAGTCACCACCCTGCTCGCAGCCACATGACTCAAAACCCCTTGCAATATAATTAGCAATATTGATCTAACAAGACAAACTAATAAGGAATGCTTTGTTATTGTCAACCAATATGGTGGCTACGATATAACACTAACATACACCTAAAGAATAGGTTTCAGTTTACATTAAACACCTCTGTATTTAATTCCGACCCTAGTTTTTAATTCCGGCCTGTCGTTATTTGACCTAAGGATTATGCCTTCTATTGAGGCCAACCTAAACA